GTGCATCTCCCCTGTCGTCGTCGTCGTCGTCCTCCTCCTCCTCCTTCTCCTCCTCCCCACGCAGGGCCAGGCGAGGTGAAGGTCCCCGGTGGAACAGTGGCAGCTGCCCTTGTCCTGCTGGATCCAGCTGCCGAGTCACGCGCCAGCCATGAGCAGGGACTGGCTTCCATGTAGGGACAAGCTATGCCTGCATATCCCCAACCCCAGTGTACCCCCCAGTGTACCCCCCAGTTTCACATGGGGTTTTGCACTCAGGTTCGGTCCCGCTTCTAGAAAGCTTTTTACAGCCGAGTTTGATCCTGAGGAAGTCTGATGCTGGTTCCACGAAGAGTTTTTCATACGGGTCTGGTCCTGGGGGGTGGGGTCATTCCCAGTTCCACGAGGGATTTTAAAGCTGGGTCTGATCCCCAGGTTTCATTCCCGGTCCCATGCAGGGTTTTGCAGMTGGGTCTGGTCCCAGGGGCCTTTGTTCCCGGTTCCACGAGGGGATTTACAACTGGATCAGGTCCTGGGGCAGTTTGGTCCCTGATCCCTGTGGGGTGTGGMAATCGAGTCAGGTTCCATGGGGGTTTGGTCCTGATCCCACCCAGGGTTTTACAGCTGGATCTGGTCCTGGGGAGCTTGGTCCCGATTCCACACAGGATTTTACAGCCGAGTTTGACCTTAGGCGGCTTTGGTCCTGCTTCTACGTGGGGTTTGGTTGCCTGTCTACAAACCCCGATGTACCCAGGGATGCAACATGCCTTTGATGGGAATGGGGACCGCTGCGGATCGCAGTTATCCTGCGCTTCGGCATCGGGGCGGGATGCCACAATAGCCCGAGCCCCACCGCGGGGGCCTCCGGAGCCCTCGCGGGGCCCCACGATGAGGGGCGGGGGGGGGGCCGGGGCTGTGTCCCGCCCCGGGGCGGAGAGACCCGCCTCGCCGTGTCCGCCCCGTCGTGTCCGCCCACGCCATGGCCGCCCGTTACCTCCGCGCTGCCCCGGCGCTCAGCCGCCTGCCCCGCTGCCCGCTCCCCGCCGCCTGCGTGCCGCAGCGCCGCCACTGTGAGTGGGGGGACCTCGGGGGGCTGTGGGGGGAGCCCTCGTGTTCTTGGGGCCGCGCACGCTGCGAGGGGGTGTGCTCCGGACCCACGGGGGCGCGGCTCGGATTCTTTYGGGGGGCGGTGTCTGAAATCGGAGTCGGACTCATTCTTACTGACGATCCGCTGGGATTTGCGGACCCCCGCCTCATTTTTAGCTGGGTCTGGTTCTGGGGTGTTTGTTCCCGGTTCCACGAGGGGTTTTACAGGTGAGATTGGTSCCAGGGGATTTGGTCCCTGTTCCACGTGGCGTTTTGCACTCCAGCTCGTACCTGCTCTGAGCCTGGTGGGGGCTTCGTTCCCGGTCCCGGAGCAAGGCGGGGTTTTGCCCTCAGGAGGTTTCACTCCTGCTGCTGCCTCCACGCAGAATTTTGCTGCGTGTCACTGCTCAGGTCCMACTCGGAGAGGTCACCTCTGCTCTGGCTACCACGTGCGGTTTTATAGTCTGAACCACAGCCAGGTTTGGCACTCAGGGGTTTTGTCCTGGTCCGGGATCCACASAGGGATTTGCACCCCGGTTTGTGCCTTGGTCTGGCCCCAGGGGGCTGCACCTGCTCCTGGTCCCGTTCTTGATGTCAGAGGTGTTGCAGCCCGGCTTGTGCKTGGCTCCTGCTCTGAGAGGAGCACGTACGTGTCCCTGTCCCCTTCACAGAGCGGGTTTTGCACTCTGACACTCACCCTAGCAGTGGCCCCAGTGACTGACCCAGACCCCAGCGGGGCTTGCCCCTGACCTGTACCTGTCCCTGAGCCGGGGTGGCCCCCACAGGTGGCTGGATGGAGCTGTATGGTCCCACAGGATGCCCTGGCCCCACACAAGGGTGTGGGACCAGAGGTGCACCCCTTAAACCCCCCCTTCCCCACTGCTCTCCAGATGCTGACAAGCGGATCAAGGTGGCAAACCCGGTGGTGGAGATGGACGGGGATGAGATGACGCGAATCATTTGGGCCTTCATTAAGGAGAAGGTGATGGGGTCCTGCCCCAGGAACGGGCTGGGGGGTTGTACAGGGAACAGGTGATCGCTGCGCTGCCCTCTGTCTGTCCCTCCTGCAGGAAGCAGGCAGTAAAATCGGCACAACGACCAGAAGGACCTTTTAGTGGGGCAGTCCCGGGCAGGGGAAGCAGTGCCATGCAGGGAGGCCTATTCACGGCAGGGGGGGTCATCCTGTCCGGCAGAACCATCTTGGCTAGGGGGAGCCATCTTGGGCGGGCAGGCAGCCAGGCTGGGTGCCAGGGCTGGCCATGCTGCAGTGCTGCCCCCRGGGCACCCTGCACTGTCCCCCAACTCTGACACTCTCCTGGTCCCTCAGCTCATCCTGCCCAACGTGGATGTCCAGCTGAAATATTTTGATCTGGGGCTGCCACACCGGGACAAGACGGATGACCAGGTCACCATTGACTCAGCACTGGCTACCCAGAAGTACAGCGTGGCTGTCAAGTGTGCCACCATCACRCCCGATGAAGCCAGGGTGGAAGGTGGGCAGGGGCGAGGGGCTGAGCTCCCAACCACAGTAGAGGGTGTTGGCAGCTCCATGGGGTTTGTGCATGGCCCCTTGGGGTCAGCAGTGCCTCCCACTGCCAGCTCAGGTTTCTGATGGGTTGGGGGCTGCACCATACTCAGTGCTGTGCCCCTCTCCCCACCCTGGGTAGCTTGACGGGTGCTGTGGACACCCCATGGGCCTGGGGACACACTGACCTCTGTCCCGTGCCAGCCATGATCTCATGCTGGCTGTCCCCTCCCCTTGGCCAGCCTCACAGCAGGATCTGGCAGGTGCTGGCAGGGGGCCGTGCGCTTCAGAGGGGCTGCGGGGTCCTTCAGGGGTCCTACCTCTGCGTGCCCCACAGAGTTCAAGCTRAAGAAGATGTGGAAGAGCCCCAATGGCACCATCCGGAACATCCTGGGGGGGACGGTGTTCCGGGAGCCCATCATCTGCAAGAACATCCCCCGGCTGGTACCCGGCTGGACCAAGCCCATCACCATTGGCCGCCATGCCCACGGTGACCAGGTGAGCTGGCGTGGGGGCCGCTGGCGTGGGGCTGGCCAGCAGCTCCCTGGGTCCCTGCCCAACCTCTGCCTGGCCCCCCACAGTACAAAGCCACCGACTTCGTGGTGAACAAGTCTGGGACATTCAAGATGGTGTTCACGCCAAAGGATGGCAGCGGGTCCAAGGAGTGGGAGGTGTTCAACTTCCCCGCCGGCGGCGTGGGCATGGGCATGTACAACACGGATGAGGTACTGCTGGGCTTGGCATGGCAGTGTGCCTTGGCACCCTGGGGAGGTACTGGGCTGAGGGACAGGATCCCACAAGGTTCATGTGTTTCCCTTGCAGTCCATCTCCGGCTTTGCACACAGCTGCTTCCAGTACGCTGTCCAGAAGAAGTGGCCGCTCTACCTGAGCACTAAGAACACCATCCTCAAGGCCTACGATGGACGCTTCAAGGACATCTTCCAGGAGATCTTTGACAAGTAGGAATCTGGGGGGCACTCTGAGGTCTTGAGGGGGCTATCCTGGGGGCAGTGAGACCCACCTGGRGTGGGCATGGCTGACCCCCAGCCTGGGCTCCCAGGCACTACAAGACGGAGTTCGACAAGCTGAAGATCTGGTACGAGCACCGGCTCATCGACGACATGGTTGCCCAGATGCTGAAATCCTCTGGTGGCTTTGTCTGGGCCTGCAAGAACTACGATGGGGACGTCCAGTCAGACATCCTGGCCCAAGGTGGAGCAGGGTGGGGTGGGGTGGGGTGGACTCTACATCACCCCCAGGAGCTGTTCTGACCCTTATCCCACTGCAGGGTTCGGCTCCCTGGGGTTGATGACCTCCGTCCTGGTGTGTCCGGATGGGAAGACCATTGAGGCCGAGGCTGCCCATGGCACTGTCACCCGCCACTACCGGGAGCACCAGAAGGTGGGTGTGCTCTGCAGCATGAGCTGCTGCCTTTGCTGGGTGCCCATGGTGTGGTGGCCACACGGGACAGCTGACTGACCGCTCTCTCTGCTCAGGGACGGCCCACCAGCACCAACCCCATCGCCAGCATCTTCGCCTGGACGCGGGGCCTGGAGCACCGGGGCAAGCTGGACAGTAACCCTGACCTCATCAAGTGAGYAGGGTGGGGTGGGGGTCCCAGGGGATGGTCCCTGCCAGCAGCTGCTCCCTGCAGTCGTGGCAGGGCCTGTGGTGCCAGCCATGCTGGAGCCACAATTGTGCCATCCCCAGGTTTGCGCAGACGCTGGAGAAAGTTTGCGTGGACACAGTGGAGAGCGGGACAATGACCAAGGACCTCGCTGGCTGCATCCATGGCCTTGCTAAGTACGGGTGGCTCTCAGGGCAGAGCAGGGTGGGGCAGCCACTATCCCAGGGTAATGTGGCTGCACAGGTGACCACAAGGGCGGAATGACCCTGCGGGGTGTTCACGAGAACAGCATAATGACCACAAGGACAAGCTGACCCTGTGAGGCAGCCACAAGGGTAGGAAAGTGAGCAGGAGGTGGCTCTGCTCGGTGGCTACTGGCCTCTGGACAGTCCCTAGAAACTTGGGGTGTCTATTCAGAGCTGATGGGGTGGGGCAGGGGCCATATCTTGTACTTAGGGCTGTGCTGTCTGTGGGAGGAGGTGGGCAGGGACCCCCACCAACTCCTCTCTGTCTCCCCAGTGTGAAGCTGAATGAACACTTTGTGAACACCACCGACTTCCTTGATGCCATCAAGAACAACCTGGACAAGGCTCTGGGCAAGRAATAGGGGACAGCCTCACCGTCTCCGTGATGGATGGAGCTGGGAAGGGCCCAGTTCCCTCCCAGCTCCCCAGCACAGCTCAGGAACAGATGAATCATTTTTCTAAAATTTTCTTACGAGTATTTTTAAGCCTTTGTAGCAGGGGTGTGTAGGGCTGGGGGTGGGGGTGTGCGTGTGTGTGTCTGCCCTGCCCTCATTCATGTATCACATAAATGTGCGGTGCCATTAAATATCTCCCCAGCCATGGCACAATATAGGGCACARCTTTGCAGTGTGGGCACGGGGGCCAGCCAGAGCCCTCAGCTCAGCCTTGCCAGCCTAGGGGGGCTGTGCGCTCTGRCATTTTGGCATTGGCCAAAATGGCCAATTTAGCATTTGGGGGTGCTGAGGAGGGGTCRGGGCTGGCCAAGGCTGTGGCCATCTCCGTTCTGTCCCAAGGATAATAGTGGCAGGAAGAGGTGGGTGGCAGGGGTAATAGGCACTTGTGGGGGACTGAGTGGTGCCACACCCAGAACCACCCCGGGCCTTTTGGGGATGGGGCAGATGGTGCTCAGCCCCACTGAACACAGCCACTGRCAGTGTAGGGAGGGTGTGGGGTCAGGACAGGGGTCCCAGACCCTGTGCCCTGGCTGGACCCCAGGTCCTGCTGCCTGCCAGGAGCCCACCCAGCTCTGGGCACACTTGGGGAGCAATGCTGTGGGTTCTGTGAGTCCTCTGCCCCCCAGCTGGGAGAGTGAAGAGCCCAGATGGTGCTCCCAGACTCCGCAGTGCCACAGCTGCCAAATCCCCGGGCACGGTGGAGGCAAACCCCCACCCCACAAGCTGCCCTAGTGAGAGCCTTTTCCTCGAGCCCCAGAGCAGCCGGGGGGCAAGGAGGGCTGCCAGGACCCTGCTCTGGCCCTCAGCCCCTCACAACTCCCTCTCCCCACACAGACCACGCAGCTTACACAGGTTTACAAAGCACATTGGTTGAAGGGAACTGAACTCAGTGAAAAGATATATCCAACCACGCGGCACATCTGAAAAAAATAAATTACTTTCAAAATACCATCATTTGCTGGGGCTGGACTGGGTTTGCCTCCCCCGCATCCACTGCTGGCTGCAGCTCCAGACCCAGAGCTACGGGTGCTGACTGCACCCTGAGCTTCTATGAAAATATTCTGTTCTGTGTCCCGGGGCCTGGCACAGGGAGCCCCGGGCTGAGTGGCAAATGCAAACCCACCTCCTCCTGCAGGCAGGGGCTTCTGCCTGCCAGGGGGTCCGGGGGAACCCCTGTGCAGCCAAGGGGGGACCCAGGAGGTAGAACAATTAGTGATGCTCATCATCTAGCAGCCCCTTCCATCCTTACTCATTCAGTGATCTGCTGGGTCATGCCTTGCCTGCCTGCAGCTTCAAGTCACCAGATGCAGGGTGCAGGCAGGGGCAGGGGGGCAGCAACAGAGCCAGGGCAGGTCCAGCAAAGGCTTCTGGACATTCCTGTGTTCTCTGAGCACAGTGGAAGCCATCCCTCCAGCTCTGCTTGGCCTGGCTGGGTGCTGCAGCCCCTCTTAACCCCATCAAGCCCGCACAGCCCCACCAGCTTTGGCTACAACATGTTGTAGTAGGCCATCTCCTTCATGGCCTGCTCGGCCAGCGTGTGCTCATCCTGGGGGTTGCCCACAGCCTCGTAGCCGTAAGAGTTCTCCTCCTCGAAGTCATCCATCTCCTGCTGGCCATCCAGCTCGGCGTGGTCAGTCCCGGCCAGCTCCATCATGGCATCTAGGAGTCAGCACAGGGACACACAGTGATGGACCTGTGGGAAGGGTTGGGGCCAGCAGCTCCCCCCTCCCTGGGTTTGGAGCCCAAAAATCCCCGGGACCCACAGCCCTGCTTGATCTGGGCTGCTTGTGGCAGCAGCCCTTGGGTGAGGAGATGYGAACTTGCTGCAGCCACCAAGGCACAGCCCAGCTCCTGGTGCCACGGACACTGCTGGGGGCAGTCACGACGCCCAGTCCACGCTGGGGACCCACCTTGGCTGTCCAGGCTGATGTCCATCACCCCGTGCTTGACCTTCATGTGCCGGCTGAGGTTGCCCTTCAGGTTGAACTTGCTGGAGCAGTAGGGACACTTGAAGGGCTTGCTGCCGGCGTGCAGGTGCATGTGGCCCAGCAGGTTGTACATGCGGTTGAAGGACTTGCCGCAGACCTGCCGGCAGCGTGCTCACGGTCAGCCCCAGAGCTGCCCGAGGCTCTGCAGAGCAGACCMAGCCCCCAGCATCCCCTGTGACTCCCACCAAGAGTCATGGGGGCCCCTCCCTCCTCCTGCTCTGCGTGGAGGGCTTGGGGATGCAGTGTTGATGCTGCTGCTGGGAGCTCCAGAGCATCCAGCACCRGTCAGAGAGAGGCACTGGTTGTCATTTCAGCAGCAGCACTGCTCCCATCACAGCTTGGAGCAGGTATTCCATGCTCAAGCAAGCAGGGGAGGCATCACAAAGCTGCTTCCATGCCCRAGGGCTCAGCCTGGCCAGATTCCTGGCGGCATAGCACAGCAGGACCTGTGCTCCCCCATCCCCAGCTCCATCAGCCCCCCGGTCCCGCTGGTACCTTGCACTTGAACGGCTTCACTGGYGAGTGCACAATCATGTGGGTCTTGAGCGTCTGCTTCTGCACAAAGGTCTTGAAGCAGATGTGGCACTGGTAGGGCCGGACACTGGTGTGGATCAGCATGTGCCGCTTCATGTTGGCCTGCAGCGTGAACTCCCGCCCGCACACCTCACACTTGAACTCCTTCACGCCCTGCCGGGGGTGCGAGAGCTGTGGGCTGGGGGGGACCCCCAGGTGCTGGGGACACACGAGCAGTGCCAAGAATGGAGCAGGGACCCCATGAGCAAGGGATGGGCTTTTTGTGCCGAGTCCAGTGCAGGGTGTATCTGAGAGCCTGGCCTGGGCTGAGCCCAGCAGCAGCCAGGGGCTGTGGGAGGGGGCTGGACAGGCTCTGTGAGTGGAGCTGAGCACCATCTCTGCTCTGGGGCTCAGCCCAATTCCTCCCCATTAAAGAGCTCCTGGGAAAGGGCAAACACCCACATACAACCTGCCCAGATGGGCTGTGACAGCTCCTGAAYGGGACCCCCCAGGTTACCCTGCAGCAGGTCTAAAACTCCCTCCCTGAGGAAGAGAACCCCCTGAGGGGCAGGGGCTGCATTCCCAGGGACCCCTTCACTGTGTGTCAGCAACCCCAGCTAATGTCAGCCATGGGTGCTACAGTTCACTGGCACCACCCACCCCCTCCCAGGACTGGGGGCATGGGGACACTCCTCTACACCAGCACCCACAGCCAGATCTGGCACATCTCCTCTGGGCATGATGAGGGCAGCACCCCAGAGGACCCTTAACCCCTACCTTGTGCGTGAGTGAGTGCTGCTTGAGGTGGTGGATCTGGCTGAACTCCATCCCGCACTCGGTGCAGACAAAGGGCCGGACGTTCTGGTGCTTCAGCATGTGGTTCTGCAGCTGGCTGCGGTAGTGGAAGGACTTGCTGCACTCCAGGCACTGGTAGAGCGTGGGGCCCTGATGYGTGGCCAGGTGCCGCTTCAGCTGGGTGAGCGTGGAGAAGTCCAGCCCGCACTCCACGCACACGTGGCAGCGCCCGCTCTCGTGCTTCACCTCGTGCGCCTTCAGCTCGCTGGGGTAGGCGAAGCCGCGGCCGCAGAAGCGGCAGCTGTAGGGCTTGATGTCGGTGTGCAGCAGCATGTGCCGCTTCAGGTGGCTGGTCTGGGTGAARGCCTTGCCGCACACCCCGCACTTGTGGGGCCGCGTGCCCTGGTGGGTCAGCAGGTGGGTCTGCAGGTGGCTGGGCTGCTTGAACAGCTTGTTGCAGTGCGGGCACGAGTGGGGCTTGATGCCGTTGTGGCCCAGGATGTGGGTCACCAGGTTGTACTTGGAGGTGTAGGACTTCTCGCACATGCGGCACTGCCAGCGCTTCTGGCGGTCCCCCGCCTCCACCAGGTAGGAGTCGTCGATCTGCACGTTGATGTCCAGCCGGTCCAGCTGCGCCTTCCTGCTGTGCTCGCTGGTGCCRCCGGCCGCCTCCAGCTCCCCCGGCTCCTGCCAGCCACAGCCCTGCTCGCTCTTCACCTGCTCGGGGGATGCTGGCGCGGGGGCCTCYGCCTCGTCAGGGGACGGGGCGCCCACCTCGAAGGTGCCCACGGTTYGCGGGGCCCCTGCAGTGCCACCGGCCGTGTCACCGCCCCTGCGCCGGCGCTCGGTGCCCTCCAGCTCCCGATGCCGGCGCAGGTGCCGCAGGCGTCGGGGCTTCCTGCTGAAGGTGCCCAGGTCGATCATCTTCACGGCACCGCTCTGCACTGCTGGCTCCTGGCTGGGCTCTGGGGGCTGGGGCGGATGGCYGTGCTGCCCCTCGCCCTCCTTGTCCTCAGGGACGGACACGGTGTACGGTGGCTCGGCCTCCACCTCTGCCTTCTCGCTCTTGACCTTGGGCACCAGCCTCACGGGTGGCCTCTTCCTCCTCCGGGCATGCTTCTCCAGGGAGGACTCTGCCTCCAGGGTGTCCTCGTCCTGCCCGTCCCCAGGCGCCTGCTCCTCACCCTCAGGCTCCCCAGGCTCCATGGTGGCATTGTCCAGCTGCTCCCCGGCCAGCCCWGGGAAGATGCCGGCAGGGGTGATGGTGGCCCCGAGCAGCTCATTATCGGACACCAGGCCCAGCACCGCAGCCTGCGCCAGGGACAGCACCACCACCGCGTCCGTCTGCGTCCCGCACTCGCTGAACCGATCCATCTCTGGCCGCCGACCTACACTGTCATGGCTGAGAAGAGAGAGACATGGCCGTGAGCTGCCCAGCACCACCACCACGGACACTGCCACAGGGGCTCCTTCCAGCTCATTCCTTCCCTTAGCACTCTCCCAGGTGAACCCCAGACTAACATATGGGGGCAGTGCGCGTCCTCAGCAGCACGCACCCCAGGATGCGGTGACAGTGGGGTCCCGGGGGTTCCCACTATAGGGAGGAGGGGGGAAGCTTGGATTTGTGCCCACTGTCAGCCTGTCTGGATGGGCTATCAGTTCCTGGGGCTGGGGTTTGGCTRCTTGTATGCCCTCAAGCTCCTAAAGAAGTGACTCCTGGGAACAAGTGCCCACACAGATTGGGAACTGCTCACAGCTGAGCATGGCTCTGAGCTCTGACAGGGGCAGCAACAGCACAGGGCACAGGGAGCATGAGGGATGGGGCCGGAGCCACCAGGACCATGAGGACACAGCCAGCCTGCCCAGCAGTGGGTCTAGGCACAGGCAGAGGCTGTGCTGGGCTCAGCACTGGTGGCTGGCACATCACCCTGGGGTCCCAGCACCACCACATCATCCTCCCCCCCAGCAGCCATAGAGGACAGGCAGGGATGTGCCTGCAGAGCTGCGGCTTCCTACTGCTGAAGTGTTCTCCTAAATACAATTATTCCTGCAGCTACAACAAAGAAATCCTGCGGGGGAGGTAAAACAGGGATAAATTCTGAGCCAGATCCTGTCACAGTCCCRGGAGAGCCTGCCCAGCAYGAGGAGATCGTGGGATGAACCTCTSCTTTGGAGCASGGAAACCCCCCAGGGCCTGGGCACCATCCCTGCAGCCAGGTCAGCTGCTGGGACACTGAGCATGGCTGGGGACACTGGCCCCTCTCTGCTGCCGATCCCTGCATGGCCCCAGGTGTCCCCTCATGCCCACCCAAACACCAGCCACAYCACATGGAACTGGATGGGGAAGAGRATGGGGTGATGATGATGGGGAAGGTGAAGAACTAGTGTGAAAACAGAAAAAGACAGAGAAGGGGAGCAACACCAGYCACAGGGTCTTGGCTGCCCACAGGTATCTGGGGTGCTGGTCCCTCCTCAGTTCCCTCCCATCTGCTGGGCCACCACAGTGCTGGCACTGGCCACAGCACCGGTGACTCTTGGCCCAGGATCAGACACCCCCGGTGAGGGGACCCTGCCCAGGCTTGAGCTGCCAGGGAGCTGCTGTGGGAGCAGGTGGGAGGAAATATCTCAGCCAGGCACCCCCACCTGCCCGGGCACCCCTTCCCCAGCCCGAGCACCCCGGAGAGCCAGCGGGCAGGATCAGGGGCTGGAGGGACAGGAATGGAGGGAGCAGCGTCTTCAGGCTGCAGGGAGATGGAGAGGAAGAGGATGGGGGTGGGAGGATGAGGAAGGGGATAAGGGGAGGACTAGTGCGGAGGCTGCGAAACAAAGCAAGGAGTGGGGGAGGGCGGTGGCGGGAAGAGGAGGAGGGTTGGGAGGAAGRAGAGGGAGCGGTCAGGGAGGTGGCTGCACTGAGCAGCCCCGGGGCCATACCCCACTGCCTGGGACTCCCTTCCCCGTGCGGCCCTGAGCTAACCACTGCGGGCACAGAAGGGACACGGGAGAGGGGCCCAGCTGCTCTCCCCATGTCCCCGGCATGGCAGGGGGGTCAGTGCCCCCCCAGCATGCTCCCCAAAACAAGCACCACGAGACAAGGCAGCTGCACTCACTCACATGCTCCCCACACCGGTACCGGGGCGTCTCACAATCACCTCAAAMCAGAGGCTTTTAGGGGAAAGCAGATTCCTGCTCTGGGCACCGAAAAAAGGATGAGCTCTCCTCCTCAGCAGGAAAACCAGAGCCTTGTGCTGCACAAASCTCTCTGCCCTTGTCTCCGTTGGACACACGAGCCCCGGGACGCGGCACAGAAGATTTGCTGTCCGAGGCCGCGGCGCTCCGGAGCTGCAGCTGCACAAACACCCCACMGGGAAGCAGGAACAGGGCACAGGCAGCTGTTTCACTTCCCGCTCTCGTTTCCCTGTTCACGCCTCGGGACTTGCCCAGGCAGCTGGAAACACCATTTCCCAACACACTGGCAAGCGAGGCGGGGTCACGCATTTCAGGTCCCCCAGGAAACTCCCGACACCCCGGAGTGCAGAGCACTGTGTGCTCCAGGGGAGCTCCTCCAGCCTTGCCCGAGCAGCCCGAACAGAGCSCCGGGAGCGCTGCCCGGTGACGGAGCGGGGTGATGCCCACGGATGGAGCACACGGAGCCCCCCAACACCGTGCACACTCCTGTCCCAGTGCCGATCACAGAGCTGACACAAGCACCTCCTCCAGCTCCTCCTCCTCCCCAGCCCAGACCTCCAGACCTGCGGCTGCACCCACAGGCTGTCACCCACCAAGCTCAGGGTCCCTGTCCAGTGSTGCTGCTGGGAACCAAACGCTCCTCAATAATCTTTAGTTTGCAAGTGCAGCCCTTTGGGCCAGGTTCAAGTCCCTCTGGCTCATTTCCCAATGATGGCACACACTCACCTGCCCATCCTCACCCACATTGGGGGGTCACACCGGCATACCTGCCAATTGTCCCCTCTGCCAGTGGCGAGTGCCGAGCTCCCACCTCTCCCCTCTCCAACACTGCAGGATGGATGCACCTGGGGCCAGCAGTGGTGGCTGCTGTCCTTGATCCTTCGGGGTTATGAAATTTGGATTTCTTTCATCATTTCCCCTCCCACCCCAAGGTTTCGTTTTAATGCAATCTCTCCTCCYATCTTTCCCAACACATCTGGGAAGATCCAGGCTCTGCCCTGGCACATCCTGCAGACCCTGCCCTCCCTGCTCAGAGCCTCCCCCAGTTCCTCACTCACCACCTGGTCATTTAAAGCAGGTTTCTATTCATGGCTTTCACTTATTTATGCTATTTTACTTCTRTTTTCTTCTCTTGCTCCATCATTAAGCCCTCAAATACTCACTTCTCACTGGGTCCCTCTGGCAGCAGCATCTGCACAACAGGCTCTCCGCTCCCAGCACATTCCCTGCTGGATTCCAGATTTTCCAGCCACCAGGCTAAGAGCCATGTCTGTGGACACATTTCCCTTCCCTTTGCCATTTTACCTCTCTTGGTTTCACCCACCTGCCCCGTCACTTGTGTCACCACACCACCTGGCCCCTCTGCCAGCGCCACCACTCYAGAGAGAAGAACCTGGTGAATCCTCAATTGAGCATCACAATAACATTACATCTGGTCCACAGAAGCCTAACTTATGCACCCACAGGTTCGTCTGTAACAACAGAGGCCCAAAAGCGTCTGAGCTAAAGGAGTACCCACACCTTCAGAGCCATCCAAGCCCCAGCTGCCCTCACAGCCCCCACCAAGGTATGAGTGACCAACGACCCTTGTTCCCCACCTGGCTCCATTCCTGGCTCCCATCACCAGCCCAGAGGCTAGAAGCCATCACCCAGGAGCTCCTGCAGGGAAGARAGACCCAGGCACCCAAAATCCAAAGAGTTTGGGGGACTGGTTTGCTCCTCAGCTCTCCCAAGGAGCACTGASCCCCACCAGGCACACCCTGCTGCCACTGCCACACATCTCAGCTGGTCAGGGTAAGTGCAGCCACCTCAGCAGGTGCCAGCAGCAGTTTAAGTCACCTGGCCCCCTGCCTGGCAAGCCTGGTGCCATAGGACAGAGGACATTTAGGATTTGTTCTTGGCTATCCCCTTTGCAAGACCCACATTGTGGGATGACTGTTGCAGGACCCTTTCGTAAAATCCTCTGCAGGACCCCCAGTGCTGGAACCCTTGCAGGAAAAGCTCCCAAGGCACAGGGTCGAGCCTCAGCACAAAGTGAGACCCTGGGCATGGGGGGTTCTCACTGGGGGAGGAGGCAGTAAAACTTTTCAAGACTTTTTACCACAAAATGGCTGATARTGGATCTGATATTTGTGAGAAAACCTGCGATTTTATTTTCCTTCCTTTCTCAAAAGCAGCCTTCATTTAAATTTAATAAAGGGGAAAACCAGGCTTTTATCTTGCCTGCAGATTTCACATAAAGCTGCTCAACCCCCCACAATTCCAAACAAAAAAATGTTGTTCTCCTGAAAGTCACAACTGAAATTATTCCTAAACCTGACCCAGCATGTCTGTCCTGCACCAGCCCAAGAATTTGGGGTCACCTTGGCTGCACTGCCTGGCCCTGGCTCTGTGCCGGCGATGTGTGTCAGATGCTGACCCACAGAGTGGCTCCAGACACCGTGGCAGAACTGAAACTGGCACTTCTTGCCCCAGAACTGACCCTGATGCAGAGGAACTGCTGTAAAAATGAGCCAAAGCTCTGAGAAATGGGCAGGAACCATGCGGGGCCAGGTGCTACTGCCACAGAAAACAAACATATGTTCAAATTCAGTCGGTGTCTCCACACCAGATACTGTCAAACTACAAATAAAGGAAAACTTTTGTTTTAAGGAAAACTTCTCTAGAAAGAAGAAATCTCCACTGTCAGTGGATCAGATACCAGCTGCTCCCTGCAGTCTCCAGCTGGTGATGGATGTGACATCAYGTGTGTCACTGAAGTGCTTCTGGGTGGAGGAAGAGCAGCCTTTGGGGGCTTTGGCTTCACAAAACAACCTGGACACAACCTGGGGTTTGCAGCAGGATGTTGATAATGTTTTTAATAAAAGCAGGTGGAAAACCAAGTCAGGGAAAGTGAGGTCCTAAGAAAGACAAGGGCTCAGGGAGGAGCGGGTGTTACCAGAGAACATCAAACGCTCCCCAGCCTCTCCACGGGTACTTCTTCTGAACATATTCCATGGAACTGGGGGTATTTTCACTCTGACCACTGTGTCCATCGATCAGAGGTAAATGTTTACCCCTTTGAAGATGTATGGTTATCGGCAAACTGACTGGGAGGGAAAAGGGAATGGCTTTCAAATAACCAGAGGTTACCAGGGCTGCAGAACAAAAGTGTGTGGAGCACAGAGCTGCCTGGKTCCTCCCTTATCAGCCCAGGGATATGGGATCCACCAGTGG